CCGCCTTCTCCAGGAAGAAAAGCCGACCGAGTTCAGAGCACCTCCGTGCCTAGGCTACATCAAGTCGCCGATCGCACACCGCGATCCATTCAAGTGCGGGACGAGATTCGGCATCGTATACGCGAGACCCACGACCGGCGCCCCGGCATCCAACCTCGTCACCCTCCGCGAACTCCTGGGCCAGAAGCCCAAGCCCTCCCTGACCGCTAGGATCTCGCTCTGCAGCGCCCTGGCCGAATGCCTGGGCAGCTTCCACGCGGTCGACTGGCTGCACAAGGGCCTGCGCAGCGACAACGTGCTGTTCTTCACCCAGCCCGCCGCCGGCACCACCACCGACGCGCGAACCCGCTCCCCGACCACCGCCCCGGCGTCCTCCTCCTCCTCCTCCTCCTACCCGGACCTCTCCGCGCCCTACGTGACCGGGCTCGGGCTCTCGCGCCCCGGCGCCGACCCCGAGCTCACCGCGAAGCCGCCGGCCTGCGACCCCGCGACCGACCTGTACCGGCACCCGCGGGCGCAGGGCGGCGAAGCCGCTTCTTCTTCGGCGGCCGCCTCCTCCTACCGCGAGGCCTACGACCTCTACAGCCTCGGGGTCCTGCTGCTGGAGGTGGCGGCCTGGCGGCCGGTCGAGGCCTTGCTCGGCCTCGGCCCGGAGGACGTGCGCGCCCTGGGCCCGGAGCAGCTGCGCGGCGTGCAGGGGCTCCTGCTGGGCGAGGCGGGGTACCTGGACCGGGCCGCGCGGCGGTGCGGCGACGCCTTCCGCGACGTCGTCGAGCGGTGCCTCGGCGCCGACGCGGTCGCGCGCCCCGCGTACCGGGGCGAGGCGGCGGCGGCGGCCGACGCGCGCCTGCGCACTATGTACCGGGAGGCGGTCGTGCCGCGGTTGCGGGCGTTGCGGGAGGCGCTGAAGGGGGCCGAGTAAGACGTTGTCGTTGCCTTTCCTCATCCGGTGTCAGTTTATGGGATGTAGAGCCCAGCCAGGTAGGTGCCGGTTCCGGCAAGTCCCGGTTTCGGAGTATACGAGCGTGCCTCTTGGCGTCTTCCCTTTGCAAGTTCTCGGGTTGCGCGCACGCCCGCGCAATTGCTCCCAGTTGACCGGCCTTGCTAGGGCATGTTTACCAGAGGTAGCGACTAGGATATGTGGTGGGATAATCGCGTTTTCCGTGATTATTCTATCATGTTTGATTTATAGGATAACCAGTCTGATACTTGATTATCCTAGGGCTTGGTTGCAGAAGTACGATAACCATTGAAGTGGTGATCATCCGATCCGATACACGTAGGGCGAGCCGCAGGCTGGGCGCAGACTTCTGCGCGCTTCGTGTATCAAATCGAGTGCCGGTCTTTAAATACAGATACGCATTGCGGACCACAAACAACGAAAGACGTGGTGCACTTCGGGAGAGAAAACATCAACAGGCCAAGTTGCATAGACCCCCTTTGATTGCTATAGGACCTCATTTCTCAGGAGGTAGTTGAGCGCAAAACCAATCTACGAGAGCAATGAAATGCGAATGAAATTCTAGCCCCTCTAGCAAGACGGGACAGTCCCGTGCCACCTCAAGCCAATCTATCAGGTATGGTTCTTTGCGCTGCCATCGCCCTAGCCCTAGCTCCCCCTTCCTATGGTGGCAGGCGCAGCCACCTATCGATTCAACACTAGATCAAGAAACTCTCGCCAATCCACAGACAAGAAGCCATGCTACTAGCAACCACAATGCCCAGTTCCCAATACCCGTGGACCGGTCGTCAGGCTTCCACTTCCACTCGACATATCGCTCAGTGCCATTCTGACCAGAACTCATGCACATATACAGCTCTTCTTTAGCGCCCGCTTCATCTGGGCGCTTCTTCATTCTTGTAGGCCAAGGATCGATTATGGTATGCTTCTCCTTCACCTCCATGCCGGTGTTATTGGCAACCCACGAGAAGTCCAGGCACTCCATATATCTAGTGACGGTCAGAAAGTTTCACAGTGGCGGAAGTTCACGTTTAACTTACATCTTGAACGGCAGGTCTACATCCTGAACGTAAGGCAGAGCCCTAACCCGAAAGATGACATCGGCAGTATAATCGCAGGTAGGAAGATGCGTAAGAGGTAAAATCTGAACGAGTCGCGAGATCTGAAACTCGAGATATTGTCGGGAATAGTGGATGTCGGTCTCATGCACAGCGTTCATGAAGAGAGTCACCAGCGTCGCACATGGATTGTCGACAGGTTTACGCAGCAGCGGGCCTATAGCATTCAGCGTTGCGCCAATCCCCAAGTAACCGGCGTCCGAAATGTTTGAAACCTTTCTACGATAAGTATGGGACTGTGGGCTACTGGAACTGGAGAAACTGACCTCAATGCGATCATAGCGATTGTTTCCAAGGTAGCTCATCAGCCTACGAGCATCGACACTCAGAAGTTGAAACGAAATGGGCAGTTGATGTACTCGTGTATGGAACTGGCTGAGGATCGTCTTGATATGGAGTTTCAGCTGCCCGTAGCTGTCGTTACTTGCCAGCGTTGGAACCGCGAATACTTCCGAGGGTTGCCAGCCCGCCAAGGGGTCTGCGCTATCATGCAAAGGCCATGCGCCGTCGTCCAGAAATATGGTCCTGGTCCGTCAGTGAGGCTGAAGTACCGAAATAGAATTGCACACTCACGGGTTTGGAGTCCAGGTTTCAGCAGTCAGGCGTGAACCAAAAGGTAACAAGATGCCATCTTCGCGGAATCGCTGGGCAGCAAGGCGGCGAGCCGGCGACATGCAGTAGTACGCCCGGTGTCTGCAATCGACTCGTTCGGGAGCGAGGGTGACACTTTGGAGATTAGCCCGAGCTTGGGCGACGGTGAGACTAGATGAGACCGAGATGCGGCTCAGAAGGTATGACCATTGCACCTTCGTCAAAACGAGGCGCAAGGACCTCTGTCCGAATATCCACGTTTGCCCTAGAGGTATGTCGAGCACATTGTTTTGAATCTTGATACAGACATCGCTGATCCTCTGGCGGATCTCGCCCTGGAGAATGTCTACAAGACCTGGGGGGGTGAATGCCGAGTACCAGAGATGAATGATATAGTCAGACGCGACGGCGGGATCATCCACGATCAAAGCCAACATGAGCATAATCGCGTTTCTAGCAACCACGTCTTGGTCGAAGTCATTGACGTCGAGGTGAATGGCGCTTTTGTACGATGCTGGTAGCGCAGCAATGGTCTTGGCGATGTTCCGCAGGTCTCCAGATGCTTCATTAGATATGGTCAGTGATCTGAATCAGGAGCAAGATCAAGGTGCCAATGTACCTGCGAATAGGAGCCGAATCTCCCCGTCATAGCTTGCGCCTTCGTTGTCAACGAGATTCAGTAGGTCAAAAGCGGGCATGTTTCCCCAAAGGTGCTTCTTCCTGTTATTGAACATTGTGACAGGAGGGCCTCCCATGAAAGCCGGTGGCCTTCTCTCGACCTCCCATCGCGGACGCCAATTGCTCTGTATTAGGCGTGATTCGCAATCGGCTCTGTGCTTCTTCCAGTGGCGCTTCTGACAAGAGGAATGGCAGTACTAGATTGATAGTCAACTATCCTAGCCCATGTCAGTGTGAAGCGATGGAAGTTGATGCTTACCATTACCAGTCTGCAGCGCTTGCAAACGAACTTACCCTGGCGGGCACGTCCATTAGCGTCCGAACAGCGCTTTGCACAAGTGAAGTCGTATGATGTTTCAATAGTCGCCATATTGAGTTGATGAGGGATGGCGGGCGGGAGACGATAGACGCGACCTGTAGATGGTAGTGAGAGCAGGATGTGAAGAACCTTCACAAGTTTGATGAAAAAGGGAGTTGGGCGGAACTTCGCGCAAATGTCCCAGAGGGTTACCAAGTCTAAGTACTTGAGTTCCTGTCCCGTTTGCTTAGTTGCTGATATGGGAACACACCTACCTAGGTATGTACCTGGAAGACCCCCGAACCACGGGAGGCGGGCAGCCTTTGGAACAACATGGAAACGGTCGCCCTGGGAGCAAACGGGCGACACGTTGCAAACAGGTGACTCCCTCGACTATAACATCAGCGCAGAAACCTGGCATCATGGCTTCTGAGGTCTGACTTCACGTATATCCTTACCGGGCAGAGCGAGCCTCAGCCATCGTCACCGGTGTTGGCTGAGGCATTCCTTAGGTCATTAGAGGCATCCCCTCCTAATCTTATCGAAGGAAACATCGAGTACCTGAGTGCTGTAAGCAGCTGTCAGGTAACGAAGGAATTGCAGTTGGCGCGTCCTCGAGCGTTTGTCGACTTCACCCTACTGCCGGTGGCCTACACACGCTGAGATTAGAACATCGGAAGCCGATCTTTCCAGTGCCTACTGCCAACGCCCGCATTGGGGGTACCGATACGATACCTTACTGGCTCGGCCGCAAACAGTGGTGACAAAATGGTAGACCAAGTGGCGCCATCATCCAACATTGACATTGCAGGTCAGGCAACCAGGCCAAGTGCAGTTCGAAACCCGTCTGTGGTGGAGGCACTTGTGGTGTACAAGGCGGCGACTGCTCAAACTGCCAATACCTCGGTAGCTACCTACCTACTTAAGTAAATAGCATCGCATCGATGACATAAGCACTCTCCCTCCGAGAGTCATTCCTTCCCACCGCCTACCAGCAACCTCATTCTTCCATATCACGTAAACGTCCAGTGCAGAAATATGCATCTATCTGTCTGTCGTCGATCTGTCGAGACTCAGCCCAACTGCATGCCTGTCACCTAAGCCGGGTCCTTAACCCCGACAACCAGCAGAGCAGCCAATGGATGTCCCAACCTGGAAGCTTTGGGGATGAATGACGCAAGTTCCCTTTTCACCTTGGGCTTTCGCGCAACCGAACAGCCACATGACCTTAGTTAGCCCTAGCACACAAGGAGCACACCCAGTACACTCCACGTCAGCGCTACCGCCGCCGCACAGCCGCACAAACACGCTATATAGCCGACGCACAAACCCCAACCTCCACAACCACATCACAGGCTCGATGGTCTAGTGGTATGATTCTTGCTTTGGGCTTTTCAGTATAGGAATATGCAATTGCAAGAGGTCTCGGGTTCGAATCCCGATCGAGCCCATCTATTTTGCATTTTTTGCTGGCGATCAAGAAGTTGTCGAGACGTTGAGCAATTCATTTTTGATGCGAAAATGGTCAAGCGATTGTTGGTGACTGATTGATGGTTGATTGAACTGACAGAGTTTGCAGGTGTGTCTAGCGGGTCTTGGCATGGTGATTGAAGGATATTCATATAAGCGGAGGTGGTGTAAGCTGCAGTTCTACGCTGGGATGCATCAGGTCAAAAAGTAAGGTACTGACTGTTGCGACGAGCATGTGAGAAAAGAGGTGGGATGCTAAGGTATGTAAGGTATGGGCTATTGACTGAAGGAAATGTCGATCGACCTCCTTGGGCATTCAATTTGTTGGATTCTCTCCTGGCTTTTCTCTAACTCCCTAGGAACACCATCCGGCTGTTCCAACCCAATATTTGGACCTGAACTGACAAAGCTTGGTACTTTTATGCTTCATTCTTGGCTTGAGACGAGGGGCCTATTACCGGGAATTGATGATCGCTTTCATTTATGATACCTACACTAACCGGCCCGAATTCTACGTACTCCGATGAAGGGGCCTGGCAAAATGTAAAATAGGACAGCCAGTGCATAAAATCATTCCTCTAGCACTCGATTATCCTATGACTTATTTATAATGGCAGGATAATCATTTAAATGGTGATTACCCCAACCTCTATAGGGAGAAGGAGCCGTACACCCGTACGCAGACTTCTGTCCGTATTGACGGAGTCTGTGTTCAATCGCGTCTCCAAGTCAGTCACCCATGCTTCCTCTCATTCAGAATCAGACGATTATATTCGTCACTGGAACTTGTCCTACCTGCGAGCGACTATCCTAGTAAGCTTAGACTATTGATCGATATACACTATGCTCTTTCTTCCTCTTTTGCGTGGGGGGTGACCCGTAACCCGGGCCTAGACATCTAAACACCCAGATTACTTGGGATACATGCACACAATAACCCTTGACAAGCACTTGCAGTTTCTAGCTGGAGGCAAAGGCCATCCTGACTTTTCTTGCACCTAGTGAAGTCGCAATCTGTCGTGAAGCTGATCGCAAGCCGTCCTCCAAAAGCCAGCATAACTAGGGGAGCGGCTACACCAGCATGCGAAGAAGTATCACCACAGAAAATCAAGACTCTTTCCTCAAAGCGAACACGTATTAATGCAGAGGTACTATCTATTCATCATGACGAGACCGATATGTATGCATACCCATCCGCTGCAAGTATTCCGGCTCAACTACCTCCGTCAACTCCGGGAATGCACAGACCGCCGGCCCTCACTACCTTACTCAATCCTCTCTGCCGGTATCCGGAGCCTCCTTGGGCCAAACACCATGCGGCTGCAACCCTCGTACCATTCTCAAACTCCGAACCGCACGTATCGTAACGCAACGCAATATCATTCTGCGAGTCTGGGTATCGACTTAGAACGGCTTATACGTCTCGGTCTGCTCCACCGCGAGCTCCTCCTCGGGGTTGATGCGGACCCAACCACGGCTCATCTCGACCGCGCGGTTCCAGTTGTCGTACATGTTCTGGACGCGCTTCTTGTCCATGTCGGGCTCGAAGTTGACGCGCCCAGGCTTGTTCTGCGTCAGCTTCATAAGCTCCTCCAGGCTGTCCCAGCAGCCGTCAACGGCCAATCCCGCCGAGATGGCCGCACCCAGCGCCGTCGTCTCGCGCATCGAAGGGCGCTCCACCCGGATCCCGATAATATCCGCTTGCGTTTGCATGGTCAAGTTCGAGTTCGACATGCCTCCGTCGACTGCGAGACCCTCGAGCTTGTGGTTGGAATCTTTCTCCATGGCCTCCAGAATTGCTCGCGTCTGGAAGCAGGTGGCCTCAAGCGTCGCGCGGGCGATGTGGCCTCTTTGTGTGTGCTGCGTAATGCCGACTGCGACGTGTTAGTTTACAGAAACGTGTAGTGCGGGCCGCGCCGTGCGTGATCGAGGCTGGGTGCGGAACTTACACAATGTGCCTTTCGCGTCATCTATCCAGTACGGCGCGAAAAGACCACTGAAGGCGGTAACAAAGACCACGCCACCGTCATCCTCCACGGTTTCCGCGAGCTCAGTAACCCTGGAAGAGTCACGCAAGAATCCCAAGTTGTTCATCAGGAACTTGACACCAGACCCCGCCACAGCTATACTACCTTCGAGGGCATAGACTGGCTTTTGGTCTCTACCGAACTTATACGCAACGGTGGCCAAAAGGCCGTACTTCGAGATCACGGGCTCATTGCCTACGTTGTACAGCAAGAAGCAACCCGTACCGTATGTGTTCTTGGCGTGGCCCTTCTTGAAACCACAGTGACCAACCAAGGCACTGGACTGATCACCTAGACAGCCGGTGATCCTGGTTCCGGCCAGTATGCCCTTGGAAAGGCAGCCAAAAGCCTCAGGGTCGGAAGAGGGCACGATCGTGGGAAATTTAACCTTGGAACGATCGATCCCGAAAAAGTCGATGAGCCAGTCGTCGTATTCGCCGGTATGCAGGTTCATGAACATGGTTCGGCTGGCATTGGAGGTGTCAGTCACGTGAATGTTCTTCTCGGGTCCGCCGTTAAGGCGGTAAATCAGCCAACTGTCTACAGTTCCGAAGGCAACACGGCCCTCTTCGTAGGCCTTTTTTACAATCCCGTGGTTGCGCACAAGCCATGCCAGCTTCACGCTGGAAGGGTAGGTACTGAGGGGAAGACCACAAAGCTGAGGCAGCTTGTCTGCGCCTGGGTGGGCCTTCAATTCTCGCACCAGGTCCTTGGTACGAGTATCAGGCCAGACGACGGCCTCGCAAAGGGGCTCGCCGGTGGTCTTATCCCAGCAAAGAGTGGTCTCACGCTGGTTGGTGAGACCTATCGCCTTGATCTGGGACTTGTCGTAGCCCCTGGTGACGAACTGCTCGGTGGCTCTCTCGATACATTTCTCGACGGAGTCTAGAAGCTCGTAGGCATCATGGTCATGCCATCTGCATTATGAAGGCAACGGTTAGCATTTTACGTCCCAATTCATGAAGAGTAGGTGACTGGAGTCGGGGGCGGCGCATACCCGGAGTATGGGTAATGGTTCTCGAACTCGATCTGATGGCTGGCAACGGGATCGGCGTGCTTGTTGAAGATAATAAACCGAGAGGACGTTGTGCCCTGATCGATGCTACCAATGAACCACTCGTCGGGGTCGTGGCCATTGACGGGGCCGTCCGTCTCGGGGCGAGAACGCTTGCGCTCACGAGTGTCTCCCATTGTAGATGGTGCGACGGGGTATAGAATTCGAGATGTCGACGTGTAGCGTCTTCTGTTTCCCGCGGACTGAAGGCGCTCGTGAGGCAAGCGTTCCTTATCCTAGCAGATATATTGCGACGGGGGAGGGTGGTGGGGAGGGAGGCGAGGTGCGGTGCGGGTAGTTACGGTGGAAGATGGCGAATCGCACGGGACAGGCGTCCGGTGCAGGCGATGCGGTCGAGAGCGAGTAGTAGTCAGGGTGCGAGGGTGAAGTCGGCGGGCAAGAGGGATGCGACGAGATGGTATACGAGAGCAGACTGAGGGCAGGAAAGAAGAGGGAAAGGAGGAAGAAAAGAGAGAGGGGCAGGCGGAGAAGGAGGAGACGTTCATGATAGCTGGCCGGCGGGCTGGCCCAGCAAAAGCGCGCAGGCGTCAGGTCACGGGCGGGCGGTACTCCGTACCTCCTGGTACCTCCTGGCCTCCTGGCCTGCTACGAAGCTGATAACGTCAATGCCTCGAAGGACTGGGTCGTCCCAACGTCCAGGCGGTCGAAGTGCGCTCATGCAAAGCTGCCAATGCTGGCCGGGTGGAACTGCTAACAGCGGCCGGGTGGTCTTCGTGGGCGGTCTTCCTTGGTGATCGGTAGTGTAGCGTGCCAGTGTCGGCGCGTCTGGGGACTGGAGAGTGGAGAGGGGAAGAGGGTCGGGACTTTTTTGGTTCTGCAGAGTGGCAGACAGTTCGGCTGGGCAGCTGGGTGCTAAGGTGGGGGCCCCGGAGCGGAGATGCATATCAGGATGTTTGCCCTCCCTGCCGGATTCCCTGCCCGCCACCCTTTGCCTTGGGTCCAGGCGCGGGCTTTGGGGGAGGTCCCAGCCGGCAGCGGCGCCCGGCGCGGGCAGAGCGCGGGTGCTGGGACTGCTGGCAAGGGTGCTGGGGCCTCGTTTCCTTCGGGGGAAACTCTTGGGAATTGGGGCTCCTTCCTTGGGGTCTTGGCTGTCGCTCCGGTAAGAGGTATTCATTCGCTCCTTCCCCTATCACCAAGCACGCCTTGACCTTGACGCCTGCCTTGCCTCGCAGATGCGCCCTGCTTCCATCATCCATGCCACTGCCGGATTCCTTCCGCCCTTCTGGCCCCGTTTTGCCATTCACAGCCGCAGGACGACTCATTGTTTGGGGCAGGTTCGGGGACAATCGGTGGAGAATCGGGTGTCATCCAAACTCATTGCGCTCTCAGCTGTCCCTACTTCTCCCTGGACCCCCTTGTTGCTCCCTGTCAGTTCCTGTATTACCCCTCCCCCTCATTACTCAAGTTGGGCTTTCCCCCCTCGCCTTCCAATTCCCATGTGATCTCGTCTTTCCCTCTTCTAGCCGTTCGCAGGACCGTAAAGGCAATCGGCAAGGTACCGACCGACTGACACGCACATGTGCATTATCTGCAATGCACCTCCGGGCAATCGTACCTGGAAAAGCTAAGACGGTACGTGTCGCAACGCACGCACAAATAACCAGACCATATGGACTGGCCTGAATGGCTGGACGCTGGACGCTGGACGATCCGCGACTCTGGGCATTGGCACGGTTAGGTTAGCACAACGGCCATCATTACGTACGGGCCTCGCTGCGGGACCCGACAGGACAGTCAGCAGCCCAAGTGACCGCCAGACTTTTCTGCTGAGGGGCCCCAGCAGGCCCATCCATATCCGCAAGAGCCTAGGTGCACCAAGAAACGCCGTCGTCTGCCCGAGCCTACATTGCCCCTACCTAGGCTGCTAGGTCTTTACTT